GGAGGAAACGACGACGCTGATGATGACGACGACGATGCACATGATGGCGAGGGCGACGGCATGCCGAGCGGTTCCCTTCCCTCCTCCTCCGCCCCCGGGCCCCTTCCTCCGCGCGCTGCCGCTTTGGCCCAGAAAGGGGCCGGATCCGGGCTCGTCTCTGCCGCGCGCGCGACTGCGCAACCTCGCCGCGCGGCGAGGGCGGCGGCGAGATCCACCGCGACCGCGGTGAAGTTCTCGGCGAAGTCGAAGGCCAGCGCGACGGCCCGTGCGCCGAGGGCGAAGGCCGCGCCCGTTGAGCCTCCTGGCCCAGGGCCCATGGACATGACCCTCCGCAAGACGCAGGCTGCCGCCCGCCCTGGCGAAATCCACCTCCCCTCAGCGCCAGTGAAGCGCGATCAGGGCGCGGATTGCGCCTCGGAAGGCGCCTCGGAAGACGCCGCGGCGGAAGCGACGCCCACCAGCGGGGCCGCCTCAGCGGCGGGGGCAGGCCACGACAGAGCGCATGAGCGCATGAGGCAGCTAAGAAGGAGGGCGAAGCTTGTCCGCGCGACGCCGAGGCGGAGCCGGCCGAGAAGAGGCCTGGGCTCGAAAGGTCCTGCGCCCCCGAGCAGCCGATGATATCGAAGACCGCCGAGAAGTTCGTCGAAGATTGGGTTGCGGAGGATAAGTCGGCCCACAGCGCTCCCAACTACCGCGCGGGCAGGGCGGGCGCGGCCAAGAAGGCCGAGCGGGCGTCCAGCGCGCAGGCGCTGCTGAGGCGGCCCAGGGCTTCATGGGCGACATCCTCGAGAGGAACAAGAAGCAGTCCAGGGAGTTCAACGGCGCGTCGAGTCGCAGCGATGCCCTCAAGCAGCGGCCGACGCTCAAGAAGGCTTTGGAGAAGCGCGACGAAGACGTGCTACTGGCCTCGATAAAGGCCAAGACCTGGGAGTGCAAGCGCGACCCTGCCATCTCAGAGACCTCGCAGGTCCCGCGGCCCAAGTGCCTCGTCGCGCGGCTGATCTCGGAGAGCGAGGGCCACGGCGAAGACCAGGGCCGCGACCTCGCGGATAGCGCCCAGGCCGACGAGGAGGAGTTCCAGGCGTTGCCCCTCGAGACGCAGGCCCACCGCAGCGCTGACCCGCCACGGCCCGCGCAGGCCGCAGAGCCGCCGAGCGTGGGCGAGAAGAGTTCGGGCAGGATGCCCGAGGCCGCGCAGGTCGCCGTGAAGGCCGCGAGGGCAGCCCACCAGGCATGCGATGTGTTCGCGAGGAGTGCCAGCGCCGCCACGGCAACAAGCAAGAATAACTCGAACCTCAGCGGGACAAGATCGAGAATGACCTCGAGGCGCTGGCGGACGACCCCAAGATGGGCGACGAGGACGCCCTCAAGTTCGGGCAACAGTGCGTCAGCGACTCCTGTCCAGCATGGGCGCCAGCAGCAAGCGCGTCGCGGAAGCTGGGGCGCAGCGCGCGACGCTCAGCGAGGGCGCCGAGAGGGGCCGCGAGAGGTTGGCTGCCCTGAAGTCGCTCTGGAGGCTCGATTGCTGAGGGGGCTGCTGAGGCTGGACTCCCCGCCGCGGCGGGGGCGCGACGTGGGCGTCATCCGCGGGCGCGGGGTGCTGCTACTCGCTGGAGAAAAGATACTCCTCTTCTTCATCCTCCGCGAGCGCAGAGAGTCCGCCTCGCCCGCCCCCCCCTCGCCCGCGCCCTACCCGCCCGTCTCCTCCTCGCGCGCTGCCCCCCCCCCCCCCCCCCCCCCCCCCACCCGCCCACCCTCCCCCCCCTCTCGTCCCCCCCCCCCCCCCGCCCCCGCCCCTTCCTCCTCGCGATCCCCCTCCCCCGTCTGGATCTCATGCGAATTGTCATTTGAATTCGCAGATGGGGGTCCAGATGAGTCGGGTGCGAATGCACCGAGCGGGGGCCGTCTGAATCCATCTGAATTTCCATTTCAATTCAGACGAGCATTCAGATGATATTCATATGGATGGGGGGGCAGGGCGACGAGCGACGGGGGGCGACGGGGGCGATGGCGGAGGGGTCGGCGAGGAGGAGGAGCGATGAGAGGAGGAGAAGCGACGAGGAGAGGAGCAACGATGATGAGGGGGGAGCATAGAGGACGAGGAGCGATAGCGTTGATGGGGATGATGGGATCACTCCGCGCTCGCGGAGGTTTGACGAGGACCCTGTCTTACTTCTTCCTTGGCGGCGCCCGCTGCTGCAGACCGCGGGGCGGGTCGGGTGGCGGGGGGGGGGGGGGGGGGGGGGGCGTCTTCGACCCCGCTGCTGTTTTCTCATCGCTCATCCGCCTCTCACCCACCCCCTCCCCCGCCACTCCTCCTCGTCTCATCGCTCCTCGTCGCCTCCGCTCCTCCTCGTTGCTCCTCCTCGCCTCCCGTTGTCGACCCTCCTCGCCGCCCGTCGTCGATCCTCATCTCCGCCCCCTTCGTCGAACCATCCCCCTCTTCTTCCTTCTCCTCCTCGCTTTTCTCAGGGGGGGGGGGCGAAGGGGGGGGGGGGGGGGGCGGGGTGCGGGGGGGGCGGGGGGCAGTTCCCCCGCGGCTCAAGCCTTCGCCGCGTTGTAGCCCTTATGCTGAGTGTGGAGGGGGGGGGGGGGGGGGCGTTGGCTAGTTGTCGCCCCGCTTAGATCTGCCCTCCTGGTGCTGGGTCTCCACGGGCGGCGTCGCCTCGTGCCAGCTGCTGCGGCTGGCACTCGAATCGAGCGCGTCCGATTCTTTCGAGTCTTCCTTGACTTCGGTGCAGCAGCCCTCTGCGCGCTCCTTCTCGCAGCCTGTTCACCGAATCCGTTGTCGAACCCCGTGTCGAAGCCGAAGTGCCAATGCCCAGTTCGCGCAGTCCATTGCGTGGCCCAGTTTGCCGTCGTCCTCGTAACGACCGCGACCATTGTAGTTATGGCCTTCGCGCGCGTCCATTGCGTCGTCGCGATCTTCCTTGCGTTCGCCCGTCGGCCACTTCGCGCGCGCGATAGCGCGGCCCTTCTCGTCGAGCACCCGGCGAACGTCCAGCGCCGCCCTTCGTCGACGGGCAGTTGCCCTCGTCGGCGACGCGCAGCTCGATATTTTCAATCGGCGCGTTGTCGAGCCACCCCTTCGCATTTTCTAGAGCGTCTCTTTGCGTCGCGAGCGCCGGGTGACTGCCGATGGGACTTCTTGTTTTCGCGCCGGCGGGCACCGCGGGGGGATCCAGACACCGGGTCCTTCGTGGCGCACGCTGACCTCCATCTTCTCCGCGGCGAATGTCCGTTCGCTCGCCATGCGGCTGATGCCGTGGCGCGGCGGCGTCGTCGGGGGGCTCATGGGAGACGCCGTCGCCGTCGAGGCTGCTGTCGAAGTTGGGCTGCCGTCGAGGCTGCCGTCGAGGCTGTCGCGAGGCCGGCAGCGAGGTGGATGGCGAGGCCGACAGCGGGGCCGATAGTGAGATGGATAGGGAGGCCGATAGTGCGGCCGACATTGATATGGATAGTGAGATAGATAGGGGGGCCGATAGAGGGCGGCCCCATCGGCAGAGAGGCCAACAGTGATACCGATTGCCATCTCGAGCAACGAAGGGGGCGGGGCGAGATCAGGGGAAGGGGGGGGCCTTACATCTATCCCCCCGATCCTCCTGTCGCCCCATCCTCCTGAGATTATCCTGGCCCTTTCTGTGTATCCCTTCCCCCTGGCGCCTCATCCTCTCCGCGTTCTCCTGGTTTGTCGTTTGCTTGCATTCCTGGCATCCTATTGCTCTCCCCCCCCCTCTCTCTGACGCATTTGTTCGAATTCGACGCCGGTTGTTGGCTCGCCTTTGGCCCCGCCCGTTCGTTAACCCTCTCGCGTGGATAGCCCGGCAGGGGGTAGGGGGTGGGGGGGCTCGCGGCAAGAGCGAGAGCCTCGTGCAAAGAGATAAAGTTCGGAAGTATAAGCACAGACAAGCCCCTCGCAGATTGGCGGGGGCGGGGGGGGGGAGATGGCGGAGAAGGGGGCGACGGTGATGATGACATAAGCCCGCGCTCGCAGACGTTGAAGGAGGGCGCGAGGACAACGACCTGATGATGGCGATGCCGGCCGATGTCACTCCGCGCTCGCAGAGGTCGATGAGGATGCGTTTTGTCTTATCTTGCCCGACGAGGGGGGCTCGGGGTGATCGCGCGCGGCCCTGCTCGCGACTGCTCTTGCCGTCGCTCGCGCCGTCGCCCTTGCGCTTGCATCCATGGGCCTTCTGGTCCTCCCCCGCGGCGGCCTTGCTGGCCGAAGCGGCGCCCTCGTCGGCGCTGACCTCGTCGGTGCCGCTCTTGTCGGCGCTGCTTTTGCTGGCGCTGTTGTTGGTTCAGCCGCGTCTACTCAGTGGCGAGCCCGTCGTTTTGCTCCCTCGGTGGGCCAATGAGCTTGGCGCGCCGCGCCCCCTCGTGCGTCTTTCTTGAACAGACGCGCGCCACCTCCTGACCTCGCAGAAGTTCATCCTGCTTCCTGAGTTGCCCCTTTCTTGGGCGCCTGCGGGGCGCGTCTCCTCGGCTCCTGCCATGCCCTTCCTCTCGGCTCCTGCGTGGTCCGTCTTGGCTTTCTTGGAGGCCATCTCTCTGGGCGCTGGGCGTCGGGCCCTCTGTCGGGCTGGGCGCCGGGCGCCGGGCCTCGCCGGGGTGGGCGTCGGGCCCGCTGTCGGGCCCCCGTCCGAAACCGCTCGGGCCGAAGCGGCCATGGGCAACGTGAAGAGACGAAAACGGCGACGATCTCACCCCCCCCTCCCCCCCCCAGCCCCCGCCCCCCTTTTCGCCCCCCCCCCCGGGGAAGAAAACATAACAACAACAAAACGCATCTATAGGTATATCAACGTGTATATGTCTATGCATATCAATATATGACACCGAGCCCCCAGAGGCCCGCGCTGTTCCGCCGCCCCCCCCCCAGCCGCGCGCCCAGCCGTTTTGGCTCGAACTGCGGGCCAGCGGCTCGCGATTGGCCCGCGCGCGATGTCGTCGCCCTAGCGGGCGCCCGGGCCACTGCGTCGCCCTTGCCTGCGCGGTGGATGGAGACAGCAGCTGGCTGCTGGGCAGCTGGGCGCCCGGGCCACTGCGTCGCCCTTGCCTGCACGGTGGATGGAGACAGCAGCTGGCTGCTGAGCAGCTGGGCGCTGCCGAGGCAGGGGCGGGCCCGCCCCCGACGATCCCCCGATTGTTCGGGGGCCGTGTGCCGGGCTGGTGCGAGGGCGCCGTCGGCGCCCAGAGATTGCAATTCCTGGCGCGGCGCGGCAAGGACGACGGCCCCTCGCACCCGCGCTCGAGAGGTTGTCGGCGCTGGAGGAGGGGGCAGAACGCGCAAAGAAGCCTCGTCGCCCTGCCGCAGACAACCAGCGCCCCGCGCTTGATCGCGGCGTATCCCGGCGATTTCGAGTCGCGCGCCGCGTTGTCACCCGCGCGAGTTCCGCGCGCGCCTCGGCGCGGACGAGACCGCGCTGCGCGCGTTCTGGCGGGCCTTCTTGAGCAGACCCATCAAGGCCGACCTCAGGGCAAACCGCCTTGTCATCGGCGGCATGGGCATCGACCGGCCCGAGGCGACGACGCCGTTCGCTCTGCCTGCCGGCCGGGGACTTTGCCCGAAGACTTCCGCGCGCCATGTCGCGAGCTGCCCCTCCCTTCTCGGGCTTGGAGAGGCCGAGTTGACCAGGTGCATCTGCGCCTCGCACGCGCGGCGGGCAGGCGGCAACGGCGACCGACCACTGTGGCCTCGCTTAGTCGAGGATTTCGCCGCCCTTGGTTCTGGCGCTGTCGGCGGCGCAGAAGTCGCGCGCGATCCCGGCGGAGATCTCTGGAAGATCGCGCTGGTCTTCGTCAAGTGCGACAAGGGCGCGCGGGCGGAACGCCTCGGCCTGGCGCGCTTCGGATCGCGCGGCGAGGCGTGCCCTGGGTGCCCCTCCAACCGAACAACGCAACCATTCACCGACATGAGGGATAACGCCCTTGGCGGCCTGGCGAGGACACGGCGTTCGAAGTGCGCGAGGCCAGAGCACGGGGGCCCAACCGCCCGCTGGTGGCGAGCGCATTATTCTGCCATCGCTTCTTTTTTCCCAATGACCAGATGCATCTTCTCGAATGCGAAGGGGTGGCGCCCGTGGCCTCTGGGTCAGCGTGGCAGTTCCTGTTGGCCGACATCCACGTCGGGTCGATCCGGGGCGAACGCTTGACGCCCATCAATGAGCGCAGGGGGCAGTTTTAAAAATCCAGGCCAGGGTCGCACCGCCTTCCAAGGATCACGTTGCCCGATGTTACGAGCCGAGAGACGGTCGGGGCAACCTCTCAGGACCAGCCAACAAGACAGCGAAGGTCAGAGGCGCTGCTCCTTTCTTCAGAGAACTCGCCCACCAATCCTGCGCGCCCATGACACCTTGGGGCTCCCAGCTGCGCGCAGTCCTGGTCGCGCTCGATGAGTTGCGCGCCGCGCTCTGCGGGGCGCCGATGTTCCCGCCCGACGGGGCGGCGGCACTCGCGCGCCGGTTGCGCTTGGATTTCGGCGCAGCATGCCGGCGCCAGCGCGAGCCACCACGCCGCCCGGGCATCTGCGCATTCACCGTGGCGCTGAAAGGTTCAGCGCCTTCCGCTTCTGGCGCAACGCATCAACCCCGCGAGTGCGCAGGCGCGCGCGGGGATCGCTGACGGGGTCGGTCACGCCCGCGCGGCGGGCCTCCAAGAACGGGCGGCGCAGGGACATCGCGCAGAAGATCGCGCTCATCAAGCAGGTCACTGGAGCGCCGCCGCGCTTCGAGCTGCACCATCGAAGCGCGTTTTGCAAACGAATAAAGAAACATTGCCCGCGAGCGCGGGGCGCCATCCATCTTCATCATCATCTTCATCGCCGTCATTATCATTCTTCTCGCATCGCAAGAATGAAAACATGAAATCACCCGCAAGCGCGGGGGCTTCCCATATTCATATTCATCCCATCCTCTGTTTGTCCTGGCTGCATCGCATAGAGTTTGCATAATTTCGCTGCCTCGCTGCTTCTATTTCTGGTTCACGGCTGTATCTTTGATTCGGTATACAATGGGGTGACTGGAAGAGAAATATATATATATATATATATATATATATAAAACTATAGACAGCTAACATGATTAAATTCACCTGAATATAACTAAACCTAACCATCTCGAGCTACCTTTCAGTTAAGCGTAGCTAGATATACGTAAACTTAACATATAACACACTAGTCTCCAAGTATAACATGACCCTCTTTAAGTATAACATAGTTTTGCTCAGTTATAGCAAGGTTACCTTTAAGTTCATATGTAGATATACTGTTATTTCATTTGTCTTGAGCTCGGCCAACTATAATCCTAGTCGAACTGAGCTACTCGGCAAACAGCGCAGTCCGTTTTTTGTTGGAAGGATTCCTTGACATAGCGATGCAACAGTTGTATTCGGGAAGTTGTTTGGAAGGCTTCCTCCGACAAGCCGCGGAACAACAAACAAAAAACAACTGTCGTCCGCATGGTGGTTTTTGGAGGGCTTCCGCCACGCGGCCTTCGATTCACCTTCCTCGGGCGGATATTCGTCAAGTTGTTTGAAAAAAAACCGTTCGAAACCTTCCGTGGGAAGGTCGTTTGAGGTTTCCTCTGACAGAAGCTGCCCAATGCATGCGCCGGGGATTTCCGTTGGGTGTCCTCCTCCAACACAGCCTTCCGACAACAATCTTCCTTGGGGGGATTGCTCGATGGTTTTGTCAAAGGAACCGCGCGCAAAGCCCCCTCTGGAAGGATTAGGGAAATCCCGCAACAAAAACTACCAACAACCTTCCTCTCTGGAAGGATTAGGGAAATCCCGCAACAAAAACTACCAACAACCTTCCTCATGGCGGTTTTTTGAAGGGGGGCCCCCCCCCCCCCCCGAAACAAAAAAAGAAGAGGGGAGAAGCAGCAACAACAAGCGCTGCACAGAACTTCCCGCGGGAAGGGGTTCGGAAGGTTCCCGCCAAAAAGCAGTCCCATACATGCTCAGTTGGAATGATGTCGCATGTTTTGTTTGTCTAAGACTTCCCCAGGAAGGTCGTTGACGGGCGTCGTCAAACCAGACCCGGAAAGAAAAAAACAAAAAAAATGCCTCATGGTCTTGAGAGGGCTTCATCAAACAAGATCCAACAACCGCTACCAGGGAGCTTTTTGGAGGGCTTCCACCAGGCAGCCTTCCCGAACCTTTCCTCAGGAAGGTTTTCTGGGGGCATCCTCAACGATTTTTCCAACGACTCCAGGGAGGTCCTCTTCAAAAACGCTGCAAAAATCATCCCCGTTGAAAGGTTCCCCCGCAAAACCACCAGAACGCATTCCTCCGCGCGTTTGGTTTCCTTTAGCGCCCAGGCGGGCTTTTGGGCCCCCTCTCGAGGTAACTTGCCAAAAACCTTCCTCGAGGAGGTTTCTGGAAGGACACCGTGACAAATGTGCCACGCACCTCCCTGGGAGAAGTTGTTCGAGGGCCCCCCCCGAACGACTTTCCAAAATCCGCCCTCCAGACGGCATCTGGCTGGCTTCCACAACATGCCTTTTCAAACACTTGCTTTGGAAAGGTTCCTGGGAGTTTCCGTCGCGGGAGGTTTTTGCTGAGAGGTTCCCTCAACGACAAACTGCCCAAACGCCGTCCCCGTGGAAGTCGTCGGCAGGTTTTCCCCGATGACCTTCTTGGGGAGAAAAAGGAAACCAGAGGAAAGCCCCAATCATAATTTCTTTAGGGCTTTAGGGCCATTGGGCAATGAAGCTATAGGGCTATTAGGATAAGGCCACTGGGCTATTGGGCTAGAGGGCTAGAGGGCTATAAGGCCATGGAGCTATAGGGCTATCAGGTTTTGGCGTTATAGGGCTATAGGGCTATTGCGCTACTGGGCTATTGGGCTATACGGCTATAGGGCTATTAGGGCTTTAGGGCTATGGTGCTAAAGGGCTCCAGGGCTAGAGGGCTAGAGGGCTTTAAGGCTACAAGGCTATAGGGCTATAGGGCTACTTGGCGCCTGGGCACCCGGGCGCCCGGGCGAACAACAAAAACCAAACAAAAAACAAATACCACAACGCAGACAAACACAACGCATAAGAAAGCAAAGAACGCACGCGCATGCGCATACGCGCGCACGCAGACGCACACACACACACACACACACACACGCGCACACACTTTTTTGCGTCGCAGCGCGGCAGAGGCAATCCGCGCGCGCGTCGGCGCGAAACCGGGGCACGGCGCCACGCGCGCGCACAATGCCTTCCGGATATGGTGTGAGAGTGTCCTCCAACAACATTCCAGAAGCCTTCCCCATGAAGGTTTTGGGAAAGCCGCTCCAAAAAACTGTCCACAACCCTTCCTCTGGAAGATTTTTGACAGGTTTCTTCCGAAGGACCTGTTCAAAGAACTTCCTCGGGGCTTCTGGGCGGTGCCCTCAAGAAGCCCTCCCGAAAACTTGTCCTGGGAAGGTGTTTTGGGCGTTTGATTTAGGAAGCCTTCCCCAAACCTTCTGTAGGGCGGTTTTTGGAAGGGTTGCTTTTGAAAGTCCCGTCCAAAAACCGCCCTCGGGGAGGTTTTTGAGAGTTCCTTTCGGGGTCAAAACGCCCCTGAAGCCGCCCGAAGAAGATTTTCGGCGGGCACCCCCTGGAACCGCCCCCAGGAGTGCTTTTGCGGGTTCCACTTTAAAAACTACTCAAACACTTCCTCGGGCAGGTTTTTTGGGGGTTCCACCAGAAGACCGCGTTCAAACCATGCGCAGGAAGGTTTTGGATGGGTTCCCCACGCAGGCCTTCCAACAACCTTCCTCAGGAAGGTTCCCAACCATCCTGTGGTGTTGGGTCTTCGTTTTGAAGAGACGGCGCCCCGCGTTTTCCTCCCCCCTTTCCCCTTCCTTCCTTCCTTCCTTCCTTCCTTCCTTCCTCCTCCTCCCTGCGTTCCCCCCGCCCAGCGCAGCGCTTCGTGGCCCCAAGGTAACCTATTCGCCCGAACGCAGCCCGCCCCCCGCCGCCCGCCCGCCGTGCTTCCGCGTGCAACTTAACGCCCCGTGCTCAACAACGTCCGTCTCCAACACACCATCCGGCACTCAACAGCCTCCGTTTCAGAATCGGGGATGGACAGACCCCCTTTAGTAAAACGTGGTTTAGTGAAAACGACCTGAGGCCCAAACCTGGCGGGCGCAAGCCTGGAAAATAACGGCCACGGCGCCATTTCGAGAACCGAAAACGGACAATTCACTAATCGACGTGTCACTGTCGGGGGTTCTGTCCACCCCCGACAGAAGGTTCGGAAGGCTTTGGGCCTTCGAAAAGAAGTTCCCTGCACCTCCCCGGGAGACACAGAACACTGCGCAGAAGGCCAGAGGGTTTCTCAGTAGCTCAGCCGCCTTGTGAGAAGGCGTCCTCCTTCACATCCCCCCTGGGCAGGCCGTCGAAGCGAGACAGGGGAGGAGGAAGAGGAGGAGGAGGAAGGAGGAGGAGGAAAAGGAGGAGGAGGAGGAGGATTTTTCTCAGCGCTTCTCCTTACCTTCGGCCGTTCGCCCCGCGCAGGGACAGCCACGCCTCGGACTCGCCCAGGTCCAGGGAGCCGCCGCTACTTCCGTCGGCGGCCCCGGCGGCAAGACCGAGCCTTGCTTCCCCCGAGGCCGCCGGACGTCTGTCAGGAGGGAGAACAAGACACAGACACAAGTGCTCGTCGATTCCCCAGGAAAGATGGGAAGGTATGGGAAGCGGGGGGGGAGACAAAGACCCAGAAGACATGGGAGATAGAGGGGGAATCCTGCTGTTCGTGTGTATTTGTTTGTGTGCCCCAGGGGCCCCCTCAGTCTGGGCCCTCGCGCCGCTCCCTCGCGCCGGCTGCCCGTGCCTCGCTGCCCCGCGGCGCTCGGGGCCTCTGCGGCCGGCCGACCCCCCCGCCCCGTGGCTCGAGCTCGCGCTCGGGCTCCAGACGCCGCGCCGCTCCTCGGCCGCCACGCGCAGACCCAGACATCGGGCGTCTCGAAAAAATCGAGGCAAAAAATCGGGCGCCTCGAAAAAATCGAGGCAAAGATCGAGGCACAGGTTTTTCATAGTTTTTGGCCTCTCGGGGCGCTCGCTGGGCCTCGGGACCGTCAAAAAACGGATCGGGATGCAAAACCGGACCCCGGGAAGTGGTCGGGAGGTCGGAGGCCCGCGCCTCGACAACATCGAGACGTCGGGTGCCCGGGGAGGGGGACGGAGGGAGGCGGGAGGGCTCCTCAGAGGCACTCCTGCCTCCTAGAAGGCGCGGGCCTCATCCGTGGGTGCAGGGCCAGCGCCTCCTAAGGAGCAGGCTCCTTCTCAGAAGCGCCCCCCCCTCCCTCCATCCCCCTTTTGCGCGCCGCCAGCCTCGGCTGCACGCAGAGAGTGGCCCTTCGCCGGAGTGGCCTCCACCTCGTCCTCCCATGAGATCCTGGCGTCGCATCTCGTTCACAAAGTCGGGGGTGGACAGAACCCCCGACAGTGACACGTCCGTCGATTAGTGAATTGTCCGTTTTCGGTTCTCGAGAGGGCGCCGCGGCCGTTATTTTCCAGGCTTGCGCCCGCCAGGTTTGGGCCTCAGGTCGTTTTCACTAAACCACGCTTTGCTAAAGGGGGTCTGTCCATCCCCGACAAAGGGCGTTTTCGCCAGGTCTGGGGCTCGGGGACCCTCCGAGATCGGCCCCGCTCGAAGCATGCAGCAGAGTGATGGGGTCCAGGGCACCGGTCGTGGTTTTTGTTGCGATGTGGCATTTTTTTCTCGCAGCGTCGGATCTCAGGGCTTCGTCGCGACAACCCCGTGGCTCCAGCGATGTTGTTTTTCGAGTCCAGGGAGCTTTGTCGGGCCCCAGGTCAGTCAAACATGGACCAGGCACGGGAAAGTACAGCAAATATTTGTGGCTGCCAGGGAGAATCACGACGGAAGGTTTCTTGTAGTTTTCGGCCTCCCGTGGGCCCTCACCAGTCCCCGGGGCCCTCAAGAATCAGGAGGGAAAGAAACACACAGACACAATTAATCGTCGATTTCCCCGAAAAGATGGGAAAATATGGGAAGTGGGGGAAAGACGAAAACCCCCAAAATGTATGAGAACATGGGGCATGCTTTTATGTGTGTGTATTTCTTTGTGTGTCCTTGAGCCCCTTCACAGAAGCGGCTCGGGATGGAGCTGGCCACTTGGCATCGCTCGGACGTGTGCATTTTTCCTTCGGCGAGGACCATCGAGGAGCATCCTTGATCATTTCGCGGAAAAACCATGCACGAAACCGAAAAAACACAGGAAATGCACGTCCGAGCGATGGCCAGGCCCAGGGGGAGCGGTCCGGACCTCCAGGGGCCCCCGTCGTGAGAGAAGGTCGCGACGTCGAGTTCTGGGTCCGGCGCGCGGCTCTGGGGGGAGGACGAGGGCAGGGCTCGTTTCGATTCCTCCGATTCGATTCGATTCGATTCGATTTCGATGGTTTCCGATTCCGATTCGATTCGATCTGGGATTCCGATTTGAGTTCTGATTTCTTATTGGAGGCAAACTAGCCTGCCGATGTCTGCCGATCCGACGTTTCCCGACTCAGCTGCCGATTTCCGACGATCCGATTCATGTCGATCGCCGATCCGACTTGTCGATCCGATCCTGGGCTCTCCTGCGAGGGCAGGGTGGAGTCGGGCCTGTCCCTCTCTACAGGAGGAATGCTCAGACATGGCCCAAAGATGGTCTGGCGACCATTCTTTCAGTATTTGTGGACCATGTGGGAGCAGGTTGGGAATATTTGTTTAATGTTTCGTCGAAAGTCCCCCTGTAGGGGGACACGCCCGACTTCAGGGCAGGGGGAGGGGGCGAGGCACGCGGGCCGCTGCTGCGGCCTCGCCCGCGGCGGCGGGCGGGCCGCGCGCCGAGGGGCCGCTCCTCTCGCCCAGGGGGGCCGCTCCTGCGTGCGGCCGGCAGGCTTCCCCCTCCAGCCAACGCAGCCCGCACCCAAGGCGCCCCGAGCCGGATCAGGGAGGCAGGAGCGACAGGAGGACGTACGCGCACAGGGATCCACGCTGGTTTCGAAGGTACGCGCTGCGCGAGGGTTCGTGATTATCGCGAGGCTGTCCTCGCGGACGGGGGGGGGCCAACGTAGCCCGCACCCAAGGCACCCCGAGCCGGAGGAGGGAGCAGTGGCGAGGCGTCCTGGCGTGCCTAGAGTCCCACCAAGCAGTGTTCTGAGAACCTCTTGTGGTTCCCACGAAGTGTTCTTAGACCATGTATGCTGGGACTGTCTTGTTCCCTACCTAGGCTCTGCCTAGAAGGGTTATTACTCTCTATCTTAAAGGGGCCGGCCAGTGTAAATCGCCCCGGGCGGTTCCCCCAGGATCCGCACCGCGGTTCCCCCAGTTACGTCCCCTTAGCTTAGCGTTGCTTATCTCATCTTAGCTTAGCTTATTTCATCTTAGCTTAGCTTAGCTTCGTCTTATCTCAGGTTTATCTTATCTTAGCTTACATTCATCCTAGCTTCGCTGTTCTTTAGCATAGCAGAGCACATCATAGCATAGCATAGCATAGCATAGCATAGCGTAGCGTAGCATAGCATAGCGCAGCATATCATATCATAGCATAGCCCAGCATAGCATAGCATAGCGCAGCACAACATAGCATAACATAGCATAGCGCAGCACAGCACAGCACAGCATAGAACAGCGCAGCATAGCATAGCATAGCATAGCAGAGTATAGCAGAGTATAGCATAGCATAGCACAGCACACCAGAGCATACCGTGGGGCCCCCCGGGTCCTCTGTTCCTGCTGAAGCCTCGGCTCTGGTTACGGACGATGAGGGAGCTGGGACCATCCGAGTCCAGCAGGGGCCCCGCTAGCACCGAGTAGTCCACGATGAGGATCCTCAAGAGCCACTCCGAGTCCAGTAGGGGCCCCGCTAGCACGAGTAGAGCTCCAAGACGACCCCGAGGATGCTACCTGTGAACCCGTAGGTGCCCTCTGAGTTCCCGTAGGTGCTCTCTGAGTCTTCGACGTGGTCCTCTGAGATCCTGTAGGTGTTTTCTGGAAAGGTGCCTCCAAAGAGCTCGTCGTCGTCGTCGCGTCGTCGTCGTCGGTCGTCGTCGTCGGTCGTCGTCGTTGTCGTCGTCGTCTTCGTCGTCCCCCCCGCCTAGAGCAAACAAAAAAACGGATCCGTGGGCGACGCCGCCGCTGCCGCCACTGCCGCCGCTGCCACCTGCTCCATCCTGCTCCTCCTCGTCATCCTCACCGTCATCCAGCTCCTGGTCCTCCTGCCCCGGATCTGTGGGTGTAGTTGGTGGCGCTCGTGTGTGCCAACCGCGTTGCCAGTTCAGTTTTCTGATCGGGTAATTACATGGGTGTAATTCCCTACCTAGGCTCTGCCTAGAGGGTTAGCTTAGCTTAGCATAGCGCAGCGCTGCATTAGCATAGCATAGCATAGCATAACACAGCCAATCATAACATAACATAGCATAGCATAGCGCAGCATATCATAGCGTAGCATAGCATAGCGCAGTATAGTATAGCATAGCATTTCATAGCTTAGCATGGCACAGTGCAACATGACAAATCATAACATAGCATAACATAGCATAGAATAGCATAACATAGCATAGCATAACATAGCGCAGCATAGCATAGCATAGCATATCATAGCATAGCATAGCGCAGCATAGCATGGCATAACATAGCATAGCATAGCAACTAATGCTGCTTTCCTAGGGGCTCCAGCTTCTAGGTAGGGTCGCACTGGGGTAAGTGTATCACATCGGGTTTATGTTCTAAGACCATTGTTCCCCACATGTTCCGTGGGATTCTGGTTTTCTTCCCTGCCGCGTCGCACCCGCGTCTCACACCCGCACACCTCCCTCTCCCGCAAAGCGTGGCAGACGTGGCATACATAACATACATACATACATACATACATACATACATACATACATACATACATACATACATACCTACATACCTACATACCTACATACCTACATACCTACATACCTACATACCTACATACCTACATACCTACATACCTACATACCTACATACATACACAGGCACACCGACACACACACACACAGACACACAGACACACAGACACAAAGACGCATACACACATACACTCCCTCGTCCACGCGAAACACTTGCACGGCACGTACATGAGACATGCGTAGCACACGTCACAACACAGCGCAGCGGAGCACAACACAGCGCTGCTCAGCACAGCTCAGCTCGGCACAGCACAGCACAGCTCAGTACAGCATAGCACAGCGCACATGACACGCCATACACAACACGCACGTGTAGGATGCGCAGGGCACGGCAGGCATGGCACTTTCTCGACACCATAGGGGGTGCGCAGGGGGTGGTTCCTCAGCGCGGCCGCTATGCACGACGGTCGTCCAGGGCATAGCAGGCGTGGCACTTTCTCGACACCATAGGGGGTGCGCAGGGGGTGGTCCCTCAGCGCGGCCGCTATGCACGACGGTCGTCCAGGGCATAGCAGGCGTGGCATTTTCTCGACACCATAGGGGGTGCGCAGGGGGTGGTCCCTCAGCGCGGCCGCTATACACGACGGTCGTCCAGGGCATAGCAGGCGTGGCACTTTCTCGACACCAGAGGGGGTGCGCAGGGGGTGGTCCCTGAGCGCGGCCGCTATGCACGACGGTCGTCCAGGCACAGCAGGCGTGGCACTTTCTCGACACCATGGGGGTGCGCAGGGGGTGGTCCTGAGCGCGGGCCGCTATGCACGACGGTCGTCCAGGCACATGCAGGCGTGGAACTTTCTCGACACCATAGGGGTGCGCAGGGGGTGGTCCCTCAGCGCGGCCGCTATGCACGACGGTCTTCCAGGGCATAGCAGGCGTGGCATTTTCTCGACACCATAGGGGGTGCGCAGGGGGTGGTCCCTCAGCGCGGCCGCTATACACGACGGGCGTCCAGGGCATAGCCGGCGTGGCATTTT